GGGAAGGTGAGTTCTCCAGAGAGGCCAAGTTTGATGGGGACGACTGATAACTCGCAAAGAAATTTGTATTTACGGTATCTGAATATTTCTGTTTCACAGCTCTGAAGGGCAACATGTCCGGAACAAAGCCACCGATACCCACTAAACCCGGGAGCCCCCTGAATGTTGGGGAACCCCTCTTACCAGAGACTGATCCTACTGCGCCGGTGGGCAGCCTGTGCACTAAGGGTAAGAGGAGACGCAATGCTCCGGTCTGGCCGCCGTGCCGGGCTCCTGTCATGGTGTGTGTGCTGCTGTGATGGGGAATCCTTCCGGGAGCGCTAATTATAGTGCGAGAGGCTGCTATAGGTGGGGAGTCCTTAGAGGGACCATTGGGCCCCTACCCCCCCTCCCAGAAGAGCAATAGTAAGTGTGTGTGTGTGTGGGGGGCAGTTAATCTTCAACCAGCAGATCCCAGAGACCGAGGGGTCCCCTGCGTCACTTCCAGCTGCACAATGTCACCAATCAGCTAAGCAGAAGAAGAACCTGAGAGGGGAAGGAGTGCCGGCCTCGCCCACCGCTCCTTAGCTGGAATTGTTAAGAGCAGGCCGTAAGAAACACTGTGCACCCCTCGACTCTCCCCCCCTCCCCCCAGGGCAACAGCAAATCTTCCATGTCCCAGGATGTTCTGTGTGTACCAGAAATAGAAGACGACCCACAATTCTGATTTGCAGAGAGACACTTCATATGTCTATTGCAGTCAACCTGTGAGGGATAAACCCGGACTGGTCACTAGTACCCAGTGTAGATTTGACTTTAGAGTAGGGACGCACCGATACCGGATTTTCAGTATTGAGTACAAGTACCGATATTTTATTTCTTTTTTTTACTCACCGATACCAGAAGTCCCATTAAAGGAGAACTATGGGGTCAGGGCTTTTCCCCATAGTTCTCCTTAGGGTAACGGGAGGACACAAACTAGCGTCCTCCCGTCACCCTAAGCTCAGTATACCGTGGGCTGTAGCTCCATTATATACTGAGACGACGCAGCCGGAGCGGATCCCGACAATTCTGTCTGGATCCGCCCAGCTGCGTGAGTGACAGCTGGTTCGGCCTATCTAGAGGCAGAGCCAGCTGTACCCGCCCCTCCCCCGTCCGTTCCCCCAGTCAGCGTTGGAGGATCGGAACGGGGAATCCAGCCCCTCCCGTCACGGCAGAGAGCCGTGACAGGATCGAGAGGTGAGCGAACGCCGGTATGTGTTCGCTCACCTCCCGATCTACTGAGCCGACCTGTGACAGTCTCATTGTCACAGGTCGGCTAGAACTATGAGGTGAGTGGAAAGCACGTGTGATGACTCTCCACACGGCTTCCCAATTAGCACGGAAGCCGTCTCCACGCTCCCTCATCACCAAGTCACGAGGAAGCATAGAGCGAGCTTCCCGGCCAATCAGGAAGCCGGGTGGCTTGTAATGACTCACCGCCTGGCTTCCTGATACCGGAAGTTCCGATATTGGGAGCATTTGGGCGAGTACTCGGTATCGGTGCATCCCTATACCAAACTTTGTAGCGGAGTTCTATCTCTTTCTGTTCTGAAGAGATAGCGGTTTGTCTCCTTTCCGGACTGATTCCTGAATGGAAGTGTCTGCACCCGTTATAGTCACCTGATTGGATCTCAGTGATGTTGGGGAAAGGAAGCACATTCTCCGATAGTTAATTTCCTAAAAAAGCAAAAAAATACAAGTAGTTGCTTCCATGGTCACGTGACCACTCGGTCCTGCTCCTCTCCTGCAGGCTGTGGGCGGAGAATGCAAAAGAGGGCCGGCCACCGATACGATAAGAGGACCTGTAAGGAAACCCCACGCATGCTGTAGATACAGGAATGACTGACATACCTTGCCAGAAGCTGCTGTCACTCACCGTGTTGAGCTGGATGGGGACGTGGCAGCTGTCATCTAACCTTAGGACTGCAGACATGGCGTCCTCTATCTCCCGCGTCAGAAGGAGAGGCGCAAACCGACCACGCCAGGACGGATCCGCTTCCATGCCCGGTGTGCTCAGCTGCAAACAGGAAGTGGTTGTTTCCCGAGGGGATTGGCGGGATCACCGTGTATTATGACTTTATCAAATCACTTAGATCAGGGGTGAGCAAGTGCGGCCCTCCAGCTGTTGTGGAACTACAAGTCCCATGAGGCATCGCAAGACTGACCGTTAACAGGCATGACTCGCAGAGGCAAGTTAGGATTTGTAGTCGCAGCACAGCCGGCGGGCCGCAGTTGCCCACCTTTGACTTGCCGGCATTCCCGGGGGATGTTTTCGCACACATGTTAAAATGCAAATTTAGGGCCTGAAAACGACGGCGTACACGACACTAGCCAACACGTGCGGCGCCATTGTTGTTTTCATAGGTAGGCGCACCCGGCTCATGTGTGCGTGTACGCGGGGGATTTAAAGGAGAACTATGAGGTGAATGAAAAGCGCTCATCCTCATAGTTGGAGCCGACGTGTGACACTGAAACTGTCACATGTCATCTGTATAGATCGGGAAGTGAGCGAACACATACCGGCGCTCGCTCACCTCTCGATCATCTCCCTACAGAGAGCTGTGACTGTCACTCAGGAGAACAATGGGGGAAAAACACTGACCCCATAGTTCTCCTTTTTAAAGAGGAAGTCCATTACAAACCAACTTTCCTAAGTCTGGGCTTCCTTAGAGTGTAATGAGAGAAGCTGCATTGGCTTCATCAGACGAGCCGTAGGGAGTATCACACAAAGATAACGTTCCCACTGCAGGGGATGCCTAAACGTTGATGTTTATATCAGCGCAGAACTTGGAGAGTATCGGCGATCCGATCACCGATGACATTTCGGGGGGGGGGGGG